CCACCATAACATCTTTTGTTTCTTCACTCTTTGCCTCCTCGTCGCATATTGTGAGATTCTATAAAGTCCGATCCTTACAACCGTGTCCTGGGGTAAACTTCTTATCACAGCGAAAATAAAACCTCTTGGATCCCTTCTCCTGAATCCCGATCTCTATATAGCGTTCGAATGTGGCTCTCTGCATGACCTATTTGTACCCTCTCTTTGGAATCCCATTGTTTGAGCTTTTGATATTTTTGTGATAATAGCATTTCGACAGGGTGCTCCATTTGTGCTGCTATTAATCCATTTTATTGCATTTTTATCTTAAAAAAATTGTGCAAATTCTATAGTTTTTCCTAATCTCGTGGTCTCAACTGACGAGTGCTGCTCGAATCTCTGGCTTCAACCCCCTCATGAAACTTTCTTCTATTACTAATTTCAATATCCTTCTCAAACGTCTGTTTAACATCTAAATTTATTCCTATAATTCATGATAGACCTTTTAGGTCCAATACAAAAAATTGCTCTTGTAATTCCCCTCCTTGCGTGATTCTGAAACGGTCCACTTGAATTATTCACATTCTGATTGACTGAAATTGTTCTCTCTATTGATACCACGTCAGACCCTTCCCTTCCAAACATAGGGCCGTTCCCCTTAATTTTTCTTGCTCTGTCTAGCCATTAACAACAAAATATCTCTCCTCACTATAAACCCAACATAGACATCCTATCCATAAAAGATCGACATCTTCATCTTCCTTATGTGTGAGTCTTCTTCATATTTTATTGATCAAGGTTCGTTCCATCCATGAATTAGGCCTCAACCTGTAGTGATTTTCATTTTTCTATTAGTCTGGCTTGATCTATAATCAGCTCGCCCATCCCATGGCTCATGAATTGCCTTTCCTTCTGAAGGCTGCTGCATCAAAAGACATTGATGCAATTTTGCCCTTTATCAGGGTCTCATACGCTGTGGTTCCTTGTTCTAGACCAAAATACTTCAAATAAATCTTCTACAGCCCGAATCACAAACCTCCTCGTTCCTCTAGCTGCCGCTGGTTCCCAATCTCCATATGTCATGCGATTCCCTCCAGATGCTACCGCTCAAATCTGCTTCCAATTCTTTTACTCTATCCTGTGGCTCTAGATTCGCCTAAAGCAGCTACATTGTCCTAATACTGCTCGAATTCTTCTAATAGCTGCCACTCGCATTCGCTCTAGTCGTCATCATTTGATCCCGCCGCATGTTTGTGTGAAACTTTGATATCTTCATCTTTTCTTGCAGTGCCTTGAATCTACCTTTTATGGATAAGAACCCCTCATGGACAACAAATGCTCCTCCATTCTGGATTTGATTTGGCTCACCTTTCTCTCTAATTTTTCCTTTAGAATATCTACTTTCTTGGCCATCATTAGTCTCGGGGTGGTGAAGACAGAACTTCTGTATACACTACAGTCCCGTCGTTGGCTTCCCAATTAGCTCAATCGTGGTTGTATCAATGAGTTTTAATCACGAAGGCGACGCCGCGGGCTTCCTAGCTAGCTTGAATCACATTGTATTCCGAGGTTCAGTCACGAAGGCGACAACCATCTCAAAATTGGCTTCCCAGCTAACTCGAATCGCGACTGTATCACTACGTTCCATTACAAATTCGTCCCACGATCCTGTGGTTGGCTTTCTGTCTAGCTCAAATCATGAATGTATTGTGAGGTTAGGTCTCTAAGGCGAACAACGACGATTGCAGAATGATACAGGTCGAAGCAGTGACCTCGAATGCGAACGATAAAGATTTTCCAGCGGCCCTAAATACTTTGATACCAATTTGATAGGAGTGCTCTGTGATGTTGCGAAATACACTTCAATCATGTAAATATACACATCGATCAATTAGTATACTGATTTTAGAGTTTGTGTATCGATTTTACATCGAACGAGTAAATATTCCAAAAAACTGAAATTTCTAGTTTACTATTTTTAGTTTGAAGGGATGGATTTTTTAAGTGTCTAAAGTCTTAATTTTTCAAAAGTAAAACCTAATGTGGAGAGGAGATATTTCTAAAGTTATGAGCACTCTCAAGTTGGTACTAAGAAACTTAGTATTACCCAAGTGATTCTCCTCTAAAGTTGTCAAACAGGGCTGAAGTCATCTTTACTTTTTTCCAACATATGACAAGCATTAGAATTCCTTATTATAATTAGGTTTAGCTAACTCTGCTAGAATCCACCGACATTTGCATTTCCCACACATATTTGTAAGATTCTACTTGCAATATTCCTATTCCACTCAATTCCTGTGTGTTATCCAAATTGTGCTTCTAGTATTCTTCTGTCGTCTTAGATTACAATCAGTTTTAACTTTTCAATTGACCAAATTGAATGTGAAGTAAGAATTGAAGGTCAACACAATAACTTAACACGATAATAGTCCAATGAATAGAAAAGATTTTAAGTACTACTCATGATCTGAAACAAAAATATGACTTCATTCATTAAGTCCAAAAATACAAGAGTATAGAATGATAAAAACCAACATTTCTTGTTCCCAAGGCTTGTTAGCTATTAGGCTTTTCTTTCTTGATTATAAAACTTAGAAACTCTCTCCAATTATCTCACATAACATAGAAGTAAAGAAAAAAATTCATTCGCCTCCGTCTTCATTCGGTCACCCATTAACCCAATTTGATCTCAAAGCCGTCAAAACTACCCAAAGTCGGTTATGGGTGCCTGGGTGCCAGGGGAAACATTTGGATTTTGTAGGCTGTGTGCTGGCATGAAGGAAATTGGGGCACTGGTATTGGGTGTCGGGTTTCCAACTTTTGTGTATTTAGGAGAATTCCAGGCAGGTTCAGGCATTGGGGAGTTGGTCCTGGGCATTTTGGTTTTCGATTGCTCTGTATTTTGGCGAAATTGGGAAGCTTTTTCAGGTGGGGGCGGCTAGGCGTTGGTCTGACACTTAGCATGAATTTGCTCTTCTTTGCACTCCCTTCTCCTCAAATACTATCTTTCAACGTGTATATCATATAAACGAGCAAATACTTCAAGGACAACATAAAAATGCCTCAAATTACTCATAAAACACAAAAAATATCACATCACATTTACCGCATATCAACGACACAAGCTTCTGTAGGATTTAGGGTAAAAATAATGGATTCTATTCTGCCGGTACTGACTCAAAACGATACAGTCCCGAATTCATAAGAGATAAACACATACAATTCGAGATGTAGACAATCAAAACCATCTCTCCTTGGACTAGAAAAGTTTCCACAGACATTAGGGTAGAATTAATAGATTTTATTTTGCTAGTATCAAATCAAAAAGATGTAGTCTCAAATACATAAAATATAAAAATCTATAATTCGAGAGGTAGACAATCTTTTTCAAATCATAACATTAAAATTCAAGACAATAATCACTCATGATATAACTCTAAACATACTAAGCTCTATTTATACTCCACAATAATAGCTAACAAATGACTAATTTGCCCTTTTAGTTTTTATTCTAATATAATTTCTCCATTTATTTGGCAGACCGTGTCAGTCTAACACAAGTTTCATAGCTCAGTATGTGATTTTTTTTTTTTTTTTTTGGTTATGAAGATGTTTACAAATGGTATTTATAGTGAGGCCTTTTGTTGTTTGCTTGTTGTAGTTGATATAATTTCTTGTTAGTTGGACGTTTATTAAAATAACTGGCATGCTAAGATAACGTAGAAAATATTTAGAAGATGAATTACTTGAGATTTACAGGATAAAGACTACAAGTCTTTTATGCAATCTTAATGGTTGTGATATTACAAATAGTGAGTCAATATTACTAGAAGATAAAGTGAAACCAAGATGTGATCGGTTCAAGTATTTTACATCTATTATTAAAAAATGTGCATATAGATGACAATATTATGTAATTTTTTAAGCTAAGGATGGGTGATTAAAATTGATGAATACTTCTAAGGTACTATGCGATGCTGAAATTGATAAATACTTCTAAGGTACTATGCGATGCTGAAATAAAATTTATAAAGCTAATATTAGGCGAGTCATGTTGTATGGAGATGACTGTCAAATACTAAAGTTGTTATTGATATAAAAGTTGACTATGTTTGTATTAATCATGTTAAAATGAATGTGATATCACATTACGAATAATAGTCGGGGAAATAGTTATACTAGAGGCATGTTGGGAGTAATATCTACTCGAGGATAAGTAGCGAAATAGCCTATACAACAAAGCGTGAAAGGTGCACCAATAAAAGGGGAAGAAAAATTTATTTCTGGAAGAATTGGTAAGGCAAATGGGCGGAACAAATTTGACTGGTATAGAAGCTGTCAACAAAAAACATGGTTTAATAGCTTAACACCTCATATAACAGTTAGAAGGGATCAATTTAAACTTAGGATTAAGAAATCTGAATTCAAATAATTTGAATTAAGCTGCTGCTGCTGATGATGTTGGTGATTTTGAAGATCTTTTACTTGGGTTTTTTTTGCAAACTCAGACAGGGTCTATCCCTTAATTTTTTTGTTTTTGAAGTCAAATTATTTATTTATTTTTTATAATCCGTTACTCCAAATAATTACAATGGCTTACTTTTCTGGTACACTATATCAAATTTGGAAGTGTCACTTTTTAATCTTTTTCTGAAGAATTATTTTACTCTTTCTAGATTCTTGTTCATGCTCGATCAAGGTTTTTGTGTCGATATCCCTATTTCTTTAGCAAGAAACCAATTTGTTTTATTAAGTTGCCATGTAAAGTCTGCCGATTGAGCAATTATTTTTCTCAATTTTTCTTTTTTCAGTGCCAGTTTATTTTATTTTTTTGTTGATAATTATTCTTTATTATCTCCTATAGTGTACTAAACATTCATGATTTTTTTTCTGAATGTGTAATGCGAGATGTTTTTTGTTTTTTTGACATTTTTTGTAGGTGGCTGTCTCCAGTGTTAGCATTTTAGTTTCATGAGAACTGCAAGTTTTTGCTTATGTTTTTTGTCATCTTTTTTATGCAGATAAATGATCAAATTATAGCAAAGCTTCATATGGAATTGGATTCAAGTGATAAGAAAAAGTTATCAAGCCATTCACATAAATCAGATGAACGCATTAATGGCAGCAGTAGAAAGCGCAAAGCGTCGTCCATTGCCTCAAAGGATAGTGGAGATGCTAACATTCTTATTCAAAATCCTATTGGAAAGGTATGTTATCTGATATATATTTCTGGGGCATTTACAGACACAGCACCCAATTCTTATTTATTTACATTTCTCACACCTGAACTTTCATATTTACACCCAGCACTCAAATATATAGTATCACATAAAAAAATAACACTATTACCATTTTTTAAATGTGAAATACACCATTTCATGCATATGTTTAAAACACCAAAGTGCTATGCATCTAAATATGAAAGTGTTGGTGTGAGACATGTAAATACATAAGAATTGTGTGCTATGCCTGTAAATTTTACTATATTTTCTTGATGTGTGATATTTGCTATATTGCAAGTCTGGCATTAACTGAATGACTTGGAACATTTACTCTGTTATGATCTTAACTTCTACCATGCATAATCTCCCTTGTCATTCATGCAGAGAGAATGCCTGCCAGTTCTTTCACCTTACAGGCTGCCTTATTAATTGTAAATAATATATTTAGGTTTCTATGGCATTAAATGCGCTTTATGTTTTTACTGAAATAATGAAAATTTAGGCAACTTTGCTATGTGTTCTGCTTGGCTAGCTTTTAGCTTTTAGTGTTCTTTCTGATTCGATCTGTGTTGAATGGAAGAATTTCAAAGTGTTGATATTCAGTTGTTTGGTTTTGCATTTTCTTTCATGCTGTCATATTGCCCTTTTCAGAGAAAATTAGTTAATGAATTAATTTTAAAGAACAGTGACAGTCTACTAAAAAGAAAAATATATTAATTCAGGCTACATAAACTTTATATTTTATGAAAGTTAGCAATAAATAACTTTTATAAGAATTGAAGAGAATTAGTTGAGTTTCATTTCATCATTTATGCAGAATTTGTACAGTTTTAGAAGAGCTTTTGGTAGGAACTATACGAAGTCAGAGATTGAAATTAGCTATATAATTAATTATAATAGGAAAATCTATTGATCAGTGAGCTAGCATTAATAATCACATGAATCAATGAGATGCCAGTTAACTAAATAAAGCAGGGCAGCTTATGGGCTGGAAGGATCCAACTTGGGGCAGAATGGGTGAAAGTCAAGATGTAGACTGTTGGAGCTGATTTCGGTAATGCTTGGGGCTGATTGCTGATTTCCAGGAAGTGTTTAGGGTTGGTTCTACACTCCACAAAAGAATGAATCAATGCTTTCCATTTTAAGCTTGCATATAATTTTTGAAAGATTGCCCTTGATAATTTTTTTCTAAAAATATTTGCAAGTTAGGTACATAGACCAGTATCAAACTTTTCTTTTATAAAGTATCTATTAAGTTTAATATGCTTTTTATTGTCATATTATATGAGACTATGCAATTTTGATGGCTGACTTGTTATCACAGTAGAGTCTTTAAATTTTCCAAGATAAACTTTTTGTCATAGCAAATCTTGTAGATTCCTAGCACCATGGATCTAATTTTAGAATTTGCATTAGATCTTGCTATTATATATTATTTTTTCTTTTTTCAAGGCAGTAGGTTGCTTCCGAAGAATATATAATATCAAACTTGGATTCCTTGTCAGTTATAATAGAAATACATCTGTGTAAGCTTCAAGAGTTAAATCTTTCCCCTATATGAATATAATTCCTTTACTTGGGGTTCTCTTTAAATTTTATAGAATTCTATCAATTGCCCTAAGATGCGTTTTTTAAGGTTGTGCATGAATTGATGTACCAAATTGACAATTTACGTAATATTAATTCTAGTATTTGATAAATTGATAAATTTTCTCAAAATATATTTAATTAGATATTTTTTCCATTGTTAGATCTTTTGAAGCATCTCTTAATTTATGATTAAATTGCATGGGGCCTTCAGAGCATTGCCTTCCACTTTACCCTTGTGTTTTAACAAGTTTGTTATATATTTTCATTGTGATTTAAATATTTCATGTGGAGAGTATGGAAATTTAATGCCAAGAAAGTATTTAAGGTTGCCTACTTTCTTAACTTCAAATATTTGGAGCAACAATTTCTTAAAATCTGTTATTCTTTCCAACGCTATTTGCATTATATTAGTGTTGGCATAAACTAGTAGCCTTGAAACTCCCTTTGAAGCCGTATATTTCACAAATAATGCATGTTATTCTTGATTTTATTTTGATCTAATGTTATGCATTATCTTGATGAACATAAACTGTTGGAGAATTGATAGTACTTTTTCGATCAATTCTTATTTATGTGACTATTATTTTACTTTATTAGTTGATAGGTTTATTTGTAAAAAGCTCCTTGTAGTTTATTTATTTATTTTATGTAAGAATACGTAGTTTCAAAAGTTGGCAAACTAGGATAATAGTTTATTTTACAAATGAGGAGCCTTGGCCTTTGCCAAAGTTTTCTAAAGTCCAGGTATTGCTTATTGGGCTATTATGAAATGCTATTTTGAGAAATTAGGTTTTTTTGGAACTCTTACTTGGCATCATACTAAGCAGTTTTCTGAAGTCTGGGAATTTACACAAGTCTCTTGCTTATGAAACTACTATGAAAATAGATAGATCAACATGACTTGAGGTACTAGGGAGGGAGGTAGTTCAAAGTTAGCATATCATCATACGTTGTACAAAAAAAATGTTCATGTGAGCTAAAATCAGCAGCGCATGCACCAATTGAGAATAACAATCTACAATGCCAAGACCGACGTAATTAAGATTGAGCTAATGATTCTGATATTTTTTGTTACTTAGTCTTGGTTATTTTATTATGGGGCAATTACATGCAGACCACCCGAAACTTGGTATGTGCAAATCAACCATTCTTTTTATCCATTTTTCAAATTCTCACTCAAATATGAAAATTCTCACTCAAATATCAAAATTCATGGTAAAACTCCAGCCAAGTTTTTCATTTCTATCAAATTCTCAATAGTTTGATCGTAGCACACTTAAATGCATCGGTTCGGTAGTTCAAACAAATCACCTGGGTACTTAATTTATAAATATCAATGTTTCAGGTGGTCTGTATGTAATTATCCCATTTATTATATATGACTTATTAATTTTTTTTTTGCTTGCTACTATTTTTGTTTAGTTCTTTTGTCTTTTTCCCTCTCACCCTCCCATTTTCTCTCAGAATTATCTAATTTCTTAAATCAGGGAAAATGCTCGTGGATAGTTGTAGATTCTATCTTCTTGCAACTGTTTATAACTTCTATGTTTCTTTTAGGTGCACAATGACCCTCAAGTTCTTCAAGGGAATGCTGAAATTGGTAAAGATTTGCAGAAAAATTCAGCTGAGTTACAAGAAGAGGTAAATTCATTAATATGCGCTGATATGTTGAAAGTGATTTCTGTGCAGCTCAGTTCTATTCAAAATTCTTGGACTTATAAAGAGTTTCTAAATGTCGAAGAAATTATTTCATCTCTTTTTCTTTTCAAAATATATTATCGTTTACCCCACAATTTGCTGAGAATGCTTTCTGTTGATGTAATGCACCCTTTTCTTCCTTTGCAATTTAGATAAAAAATTGTTTCACAGAAAGTTCCATTTCCTAAGGTGTTATAATTTCAGCTAGACAAGATGGAGCAAGGTCTTGAGGAGTTTATTAATGACATCTTTTCTAAGTGCAGGTATGTGTTTGTGTTCATGATTTTAGACTAAAATAAGTGCAGGTATGTATTTGTGTTCATGATGGGATTAAAATAATTTTAATGGTCTTTATATTGTTCTAGAAAAGTTGTTGGTTTATTGGAAGTGCTGTCATTTTTTATTATGTATTTTTTTTAAACTCATTTATACACTTACATGTGTTAGGTCTTGAACTCAAGATCTTTGAGTTAGAGACAAAATATCTGTCCATCAGGCTAAGTGGGCTGCACATATAAGTCTGTCTTCATTATTTACTTTCAACCAAAAAAAAAAAAAATATATGGGGGTGATTGTCTGCAACTAGGATTTTTAATAAATCCAGATTTATCAAATCTAAATGCTTTAAATCCAACAAGTGTTTGGTTCAATTATGGTTGTCAAAACGGCTCGTTGTTCGCGAACAGCTCGTGTTCGGCTTGTTAAGAAGCTTGCGTTCGGCTCGCTAAGCTAACGAGCAGAACATGAATAACACGAACAAATATTTGTTCGTTCGTGTTCGGCTCGTTTTGGCTCGAAATACCACTAATCAATTATATATATATATATATATGATGAGTAGTATTTTAAAAAAAATTAATTGACTACAATGCTACACATTGATACTTTAAATCTTGCCCCAATCATTAACATCTTATGGCTACATGATTAGGGTTGTCAAAACGTCTCTTTGCTCGTGAACGGCTCTTATTCGGCTCGCTAAGCAAACGAGCCGAACACGAACACACTTTTTGAGCTATAAATATAAACGAGCTGAACACGAGCTGTCAATCAGCTCGTGTTCGGCTCATTAACACCCCTAGGTTCAATTTAATGTTAAATCCATTAAATTCGTTTATCTTGTTTGGCATAAATCCACTCCTCTAATTTTCTTCTTAAGTTAAATCGTGAAATTCACATAATAATTGGATTTAATAAGTTCGGATTTAGGTTAAAAAAGTAACAGAAGAGGAGAATTTTTAGATTTAATGAAATTCAGATTTAACTTTCTTGATTTTTTTTATTGTTTGGATATTAATGTAAATCTTGCTCAAATCTGGCAACCAAACACCCCCTAAATGGCATAAGAAAGGCTTCCTTAAGTAAATGGGGCAAGCACGGCATTATCATTTCTGGTATGTTGTTCATGAAATAAGCATTAATTGCAATAAGCATTTTTGTTATAAATAAGCTCTTTTTGTACCATAGAAGCCTTTTCTTAAGTCACATTATCATATGTTTGTCTTCGAGTCCAAGTTTTTTGATGTAGGTCTAGCATGTGATTCGGAAATTTTTATAATTAGCACCAAAATTTTGCACTACATAAGCAATTAAGGCAAGAAAACTATTGACTACCTTTGATTAAAATCGAAAAAATAATAGAAATTTATTCAAATGAAGTTTAATGGCATGGTGCTAAAAATTAATGACAGTATTTACAAACTAAGAAAGTCACATCCATACTTGAAATTCGTGCAATCGGCATAAATCCAAACTATAGAAAATGGTAGGACATAGAAGAAGTAAGAGGAGAAAAATGAAATGGGGGAATCAAATTATCAGAAAAATAAGCATTGCAGTTGTCCAAGGAGATGACTTCCCTTCGAATTCTTGTAGTATCCGCATTCACAATTATGATAACTTGCCAAAAAATTACATTACCTTATTGAACATTTTCATATCAATAAATGGTGGAAATTGCTAACAAACTTGATGACATATACTAGAGTAATCCTAATAATTAATGAATTAAGTACCTTGTTCACATTAATTTCGACATTCTTGGAAAAATTTGACTTTAACGAATTGCTTAGTTGATAGTTTTCTAATATATAAGGACATATATTTTGGATGTACTATAAAAGTATTCATGACCCAATCTATTATTACACCTTATAAAGTACTTATTGAGAAAAAAAGCATCCTATGGGGTCATTTTACTGCTAATCTATGCAAGAAATTTGATGTAGCTCTTAAGCTCTTAAAATAAGAGTAAAAAATGGCCCCTTGATTAAAAGCATTGAAAATTTCAGTTAAAAATAATAAATGGTGTTAAAAATGAGGGTATGTTAGGAATTTACATCTCAAAATTTTTACAAAATTTAAAGTCCTACTTACTTATTTTGGATATAATCCATCTATAATATTCCTAATATCCCTTTATTTTCAATTTCTTAATGATGAAATTAATCAATATTAAATTTTATAAAATTTGCTAATTATTATCTATACATTTTTTACAATCCAAACTAAAAATAAAGCCTTTTATTATATTTTATAAAAATTTCAAGATGTAATTTCCTAAAATACTTTTATTTTTAATTCTATTCATTTACTTTAACTTCAATTTCAGTTACTTTTAATAGTGGTACTCTTTTTTCTCCTATCTTAGGAGTTCATGTGTTAAATTAGTCTTTTTATATAGTTTAAGACTATAAAGTCTTTGTAAAAAAAATTGAGAGTTCATTTTGATTTTTTTTCACAATACCTATAGTATTCATTATTAGTTGTGGATATGATTTAATTAATAGCTTTAGGAACACAATTGGTATGAATGATTGGAAATCCTAATAATATAAATTAAAAATAATTAGTAAATTAAGAAATAAAGTCTGACCTGATTAAAATTCACACAAATTTTAGTAGTTTAACTTGTAGCAAATTGGTCTAAACACAATCTCTTTCTCAACACATAATGAAAACATAAAAGAAGAAGGCATAAGAGATAAAAAAGAGAAGGAAAATTAATTACCTAAAAAGTAAATCTCATGCTTGTACAAGGAGCTAACTTCTCCCAAATATCTTCATGACTCATACATATTCATGGATCAAAATCTCCAAATAAATAAATAAATAAAAGAAAAATCTAACTCCATAAGAAGTAATCTTCTTTCATGCCAAAAAAATTAGAGAAAAAAAATAAAACTAGAAAATGATTGTCAATATTACAAAGCATCGGTATCTATTTATAGAAACTAGATTATAGTTAAAATTTAATTGAAGCCTAATCCTAAAATTATTCAAAAAGTTAATTCAAATTAAAATAATTCTATAACTCTCTATTTAGAATAACATAATACAAATAGATCCTAAACGTTTATTTTTTCTGCAATAAAGAATTTCTTTGTGCAATAAAAACCTATTCTTTAGAGTGTTCAAAGATTGATGGATGAAGAATTAAAGCCCTTGACTCCATTTAGAGTTATCGGCATTCATCTTGCGGAAAATATGTGAAATGAGAAATCCATCTCATGGAGGAAGAAATGGAGGAGAAGAACATCGTTATCTTCATACACACTATTACTATTAGACTAGCTGATTTGGCTGGAGTACCAATTGACTAAAGTTGACCCTATCCTTTTTTTTTAATATTTGAGCTCTTGATTGGACTCATCTGGACTAAACCTTAATGAACTGGTTTGAATTTTGTGTAGAAGATGGCAAGAAAAAATGTTCTTAAGGAATCTGATATAGGAAGAGAATCAAAGATGTACAAGGACGGAAGGTAAATAATTTAGATGAAAGAAAACATTACTAAGAGGTTGGCATGGAGTAGAGACCAAAAACCAAAGTGAGGCCCTAGAAAGGGGATAATCTTCATAGAGGGTAAAAAGAACTTTTGTCTTCCATTCCATCTTGATGTCTGATCTTAAAAATTACAAGCCACAATTATATTTGTAGAGACAAGCTTAAAAATATGCTCACATGGAATTCTAATCCTAAGATTATCTAATGATAAATCATAATAAAATAGATCTAGAGATCTTTATTTAAAATAAAATACTAGAAATAAATCCTTGATTTTTGTTCTTTGTGTAACCTCACAAATTGCTATTAATCTGTTGACATGCTTAATGATGTTGGCTATTAATCTTTTGACATGCTTAATGATGTTGACTGTAATAATCATAAAAAAAGGAAATCTAACAACGCAACATAATTTAAAATTTTGATGGCATAATTACATATACAAATTCCTTTGTATCATAGATCATATTTAAATTACAAGTTGTAATTTCCATAATCATCATCATGACAAATCTATCTAGCTAAATGAGGGCTGGTTAACTTTTGAAGTTTACAAAATTAGCGTTATTTTTTTAAGTTTTATTTTGTTTAAAGGCTGTCATCATCATCTTTAGTTTGCCATAATGACAGTATTTCTGATACCCAAGTTAGAAAAAAATCACCATTTGAGCCTTCTTGATATGCATGTTACAACAGTCCCAAGTTAGAAAGAAATCACCATTTGAGCCTTCTTGATATGCATGCTACAACAGTCCCAACTTTATTCTTAAAAGTTGGTATTTTCAAATTTGATCCACACTACGACTCCAGTCATTCTCTTTAACATTGAGTTTGTCAAAGTGTTTCGGGCCATTTACATACATACCTCTTAATTCTAATGTATTTACATATATAACGCCTAAATTTTATAGTTTATATTTATACCACCCTAATCTTTCATATTGCCTAAAAAAATACTATTATTTTAAAAATACATCTTTTCATGCATGTAAGGTGACATTATGTAAAAATTAATGTTTAGATGTCAGATATGTAAATACATAGGAATTAAGTGGTATGTATGTAATCTTCCAAGCAGTTTTTGGAGGGAAGTACAATTTTGGGTGATCATCTTGTTGATTATTGATCTACTATCGATTTCTTTTTTCCTTAATTTTTTGACATCCCAACCATACCTAGTAAACTCAACATCTTTTACTGCATTCAACATATGAATATAATTGAGGAACGAGATCAGATTGGTGGTGTTTAAATATACATTTTTTCTACCAATGCTGAGATGGACACGACTTGTTGACTGATTTTTTAGGGTATATTTTTGTAGAACGTAAGTAACATCTCCCCAGCTCAGTTTTAAGCTATATCTTTCTTTTGGTGGAAATCTACATACCTAGCACACAAACCTCATGTATTTACATATCTCACACCTAAAATTTAATATTTTCATACAAAGCACTTTGGTACTTTAAAACTATGCATGAAAATGTTTACTTCACTTTCAAGAAGTAATAAGTGCTATTTTTGATGTGATATTAAAGATTTGAGTGTCATGTCGGTAAATATGAAAGTTTTGGTGTGAGAATATAGATACATAAGAATCGTGTGCTATGTATGTCAATGCCCCCCAATTTTTAAGAATATAATTATTATATTATAAGTTTTATAACTCGGTCATCCTCTTTGCTTCTCTCTAAAAAATTGTCATTCCTATCTAGTGGTGCTATCATGTCAATATAGTTTCTACTCTCAAAAAAATTTTTTTTTTTCGTTTCAGTTAAAACTTGATCAAGATTGAAACATTTTACTTGAGAAATATGGAATTTGTTTGTATTTGGCTCAAAATATGATAACATCATCATAGTCATCATTGTCAGCCTCATACCAACTATGTGGAGTTCGCTTGATAAATTCTTATTTCTCATTTGTTCATATTGAGTGCTATTAGAGGTGTTAGATGTACACTTTTCTAATCTTTTTGGACAACTATTCATATATTACTATAGAACTTCCTCTTTGTGATCCTCCAACCATAATTTTCTCATCATCGCTCATTGATGCTTTTTCTACCAATAGTTCAAGAGTTATGTCTTCATTCATCTCCCATTGATAGATCGAGTTATTTAGAACAGTCACTTTATTCTTTGATAATATTTGCTAAAAAGTTTTAATATCAAATCAATTAAGACTACAAATTATATACTTAGTAAATTATTTTTTAATTTTGGACACACTTTAATCTTATCATTTTCTTCATTGTTTTAACTTTTCACCAACTTTAGTTGGTATTTCATTCATTAGGATCATCATATGCAAAAAAACATGCACCAAGTCACCTCAATTTGAATCTATTTTGTAAGCATCTGCTTAATTAATACAAAAAGAGTTGAATTCAATGTTGATCTTTGATGTATTCTTTTAATAGTTATAAAACCTTGTACATATTCTCCGAAATCAAATCTGGTTTGACCTTTATGCAGTTGATAGAAACTAAAACTTTGATACATCTCAGAACTTCAGAACAAAGACACTTTTTTGAAATCTATGCTCTTTCTCTCAATAAACAACATAAAATAATTTTCATATTTGCACATCCCTCACATTTTATTATTGCATTTACCTTCTTGATTGAAATATTACTTTTTTACGTTGTTAAATATTTTTCAAAAATCTATTTGAATCAGACAAATTGAAGCCAAACTTTCATACTTCAATATTTGTTTTCTTAAAATTTATAGGAAGATTTACATACATGCTCCTCATTTCTTATGTATTTATTTATCGAACATACATGTGGCCTTACCTATGCATGAAAGGTCTATTTAACTTTTTAAAAGTTAAAATGGTGGTACTTTTTTTGTGATATAAAAGTTTTGGATGTTATAAATATAAAAAAAAAAAAAGTTTAGATGTAGATGTGTAAATACATAAGAATTGGATGGTATGTATGTTAATGCCCCAAATTTATAACACGTATTTCTTCTATTATATCAGTGAACCAGTTTGTAATGCTGTGTAATAAATCACTTCAATATGCAGTTTTTTTGTCATTTTTTATTCTAATTTTGTAATGATTTTGTGCTGATAGACCAATGAGCGGTGCTGAGAAAGAACTGCTTGGCAGACTGATAAAGAAGCTCCCTGAAAAAGCATTTGATCGAGTAGTAGAAATAGTTCTACGCAACAAACCTTCAGAAGCAGAACCTTCTGAAGTCTTTGTGGATTTGGAAACACAGGTCTATATTGCAAATCAGTTATTTGCATATTTGTCTCATATCTAATCTGAAATTAATTTAGGGGAGAATATACTGATCAAAATTTGATTAGGATGAGTTTTTAACTCTTGAATTTACTTTGTTCTTGGTGCAGCATAAACATGATTGATTGATTATTTATAGGGGCATTTACATACATACCTCACATTTCCTATGTATTTACATATCTAACCCCTAAACTTTGCTTTATATATATATATATATATATATATCTACCGCCTAATTCTTTATATCACATTAAAAAATAGGGGCAATTACATAAAAGCCACCTGAAACTTGCTATTTACAAATCAACTGCTCTTTTTGATCCATTTTTTTAAATTCTCACTCAAATATCAAAATTCATGGTAAAACCTTAACCCATTTTTTTTCATTTTTATCAAACTCTCAATAGTTTGATCATGACACGTGTAAATATATCGATTTGACTGTTAAAAAAAAATCACGTGGGTGCTTAATTTATAAATAACGTTATTTTGGATAATCCAAATGTAATTATCTCAAAAAAAGATCACTGTTTTGACTTTTAAATAGTTAAATACATCTTTTCATGCATGAGTACCATGTCGTTTACCTATCTTAAAGTAAAGTTAAGAAATTTGAAATCTATTATGATATAATTTTCTTCTATTATATATATATATATTTGTCTTTTTTCTCCTTCAGGATAATATTACTTTGTGGAGGCTATACTACTACGTTCAAACTGTGCTTAAAGTAAACAAACTCAGCAACCGCGGTCCGATTCCATTCCCATTGGTATGAGATAACTATTCCATGCCTCTACGCTTAAGCGGTAGCAGATTTTGAGGTGTATTTTAATGGCTGGAGAAGTTCTTGAGACTTGTTCTTGCTATTTTTTTCTTTTTTGAATTGGTGATATGTGATCATATTCTTTGCATGCATTGATCAGTGGTTAAGATGAGTAATGAATGATTTTGGAATGAAGTATTATTGCAGTTCGGGATTCTTCAGTTTGTTTTCAATCGATGTGCTACGTATTCGAACATGTTCTTTCATTTAAACTCAACTATCACCATCACAATAACAATAGCAACGCCACTATTTCGGTGCCCCAACATCAATAATTGAATTCAGGCAAATTTCACTTAAAATTTCGGCTTCACTGTAGGAAGGGTGTGTGTTGAAGAGTTGGATTTATAGTTTTCTTTTGTGAGAATGAGTGGCATGGAGTATTTCAAAGAGAGGAGAGGGTTGAGTGTGGTTTTATTTATACGATTTTCCTCATTTTTTTTAAGTGGATTTCTTAGCGTGGTGTAACTTAGTGGTTTTTTCTTATTCTTGGGTTTTTCCTCATTAAATCTTGTGGTCTCTGTGTTTTCTGGTTTTTTGTGTTTGTATTTTAAATTTTGCTTCAGATCTCTTAAATTAATTTTCGGATCTCCCCCAATAAGTGGTATTATAGTGAGATTCTAAAGCTCTTTGGTTCAAGTAGGAGTAATGACGGACGAATTGAGGTATAAGATTGAGAAGTTTAATGGTTGCTTTCTGAAAAATGCAAATTGAAGATTTGTCGTTTTAAAAAAAAAAAGATAACTGTTTTTCATTGGATGGAATTACGAAGAAGCTTGAATCGATGGCTCTAGAATAATGGGAGTTCTTGATCGAGCAACTATAGGTTTGATTCGAATTTCACTTTCCTCATTAGCAGTTTTCAACATTATGAATGAGAAGACTACCATTAATCTTATGACCGCACTAATAAGATTGTTTGGGAAACCTTTGTCTCCAAACAAAATTTTTCGAGTTAAGAGATTACAATATAAAGATGGTAGATGACAAATTAGCTGTTGAACACTTGAATAATTTCAATAATGTGACTAATTCGTTGTGTTATGTTGGCATCAAGCTTGATGAGGTTAAGACACTGTTACTCGAAACTTCATTGCCAGATAGTTAGAATGGACTTATTATTATGGTGAGTAACTCTTTAGGCAACATGAACTAAAACTTTAAGCATATTATGGGGTTAGTGTTGATTCAAGAAGTTTATAAGTAGGCGAGCGGTGAATCTTCAAATTTTGAGTGCACAACACTCTAGTGTCCCGAGGGGAGCGCCGCTTGTTGTGCCTCGAGGGTAGCCCTGCAAAGCACACCAGCAGCCTCACGGTGCCAAGTCCAGATTCGAAATCCAATAACGTAACATTGCAGTGCCCAAAGGGGAGCGCCGCAACACCCATTAGAGTGCCTCGTTGCCACTATCATAGCGCCTCAATGCCATTAATCAAATTTAGGCAATTTTCACTTAAGTCTTATCTTCACTGTGGGAATTGTGGATGCTGAAGAATTATATTTTGATTTTTCTTGTGTGAATGAGTGGAGTGACTTGAAGTATTTCAAAGAGCGGAAATGTTCGACTCTGATGTAATATGTACAATTCTCATTTTCTTCATAGTGAATTTTTTAGTGTAATGTTGCTCCGTGACTTTTTCCCGTTCTTGAACTTTTTTCACGTTACATCGCGCGTTCTCTGTGTTTTCTGGTTTTGTGCGCTTATGTTCTAAGTTTTGTTCCATATTTCTCCAATCGGCTTTAGCATGTCTCCCCACAACCATAATTAATATATTAGCCAAGTAATCAAACAATGTTTTATGATTGCATTTTATTTCAATTTAGCTGATTCCATTAAACAAAAATATTTCAAATACAATTATTATGAAATATGTCCTTTTTCTTAACATATTTTATATGGTTTGATTCTGATGCCTTTATGCTGAAGTTCCTCTCTTGTCTTATTGATAGTCCTCCATCAGCTGGCGTTGCAACATATAGTTAATTTTGATTTGTTTGATATGTTGGCAATGTAGTTTCTCTGTTCTCTAGAAGGTTCTGTATGATTATCTTTTTAAAGGGGCATTTACATACATACCCCAAAAAGACTATGTATTTACGTAAAGGCTTATGAATTCTCCTCCATCAGCTGACATGTCAACATTTATTTAATTTTGATTTGTTTGATATGATGGCAAAGACATGCTAAACATAGGTGTTTTTTTGTGTGGGTCAGTTTTTGTTATTACGAGCGCTGTGAGCTCGAAGATCGGTAATTACTCGAAAATTTATTCAAATTTTGGCTCGAATTGTTGAATTATTTTTTCGTGATGATTTCGAATTGAACCCAACTCGGTTCAAAAATTTAGTTTGTTAACAACGTTAGTGATTTTAGGATTAAATTTAGCGAATTTAGCTCGAAGATCGTTGATCACTCGCAAATTCATTTGAATTTTGGCTCATATCAAGATTTGATCGAAATAAACGAGCCAAGCTATAATCTAAAATTTCGATTGAATTTTTTTGTAGCCACCCTGGCTAGACTCGAAATCAGATCAGTAACAGTCGTAACTGCTATATTATTTTTCAGATCATCATTACAGTTGCGTTTAACTACTCCATTTTAAAAATTTACCCCAACAACCTCACCTCCTAAGACATGATATCGAAGTAAAATATTAAATTACTCTAAACAAAATTAAAAGAAAAAAATACTTATATAAAAAAAAAACCCTAAAAATCTCTCTCTGACGCTTATAAATAGACCGTTTTCCCTCTGAAGCCATTCACACTCAGAAGCTAAACCCTAATAAACTGATAAAAAAAAGCTGAAGTTTTTATCTCTTTCAGAGCTTCACTGAGGAAAAATGGTTGCAGGTTCGATCAGCCGAGAGAATGTGTCGCGTGTTTCGCTGGATAGAATATGGAAAGGAGGCGTTCTTGATTCCCATAATCTGCTTCCAAAGATTTTGCCTGATTTCATTTCTAGTGTTGAGCTTTCTGAAGGCGATGGGGGACCTGGTACTCTCAAAAAGATTATTTTTACTGATGGTAAATTTCCAAAATCTCTCTCTCTCTCTCTCTCTTGCACGGAAAAAATTTGCGTGTGATAGACGTAGGCAGCGCTGCGTGCGATATTGGGGTTATACCGAGGGTACAAGAATGTTCATGTAATCTATCTGTACCTTAAAATAAGTTTCGCACTTCTGTTATCATATATTAAGAGATTACATGTAAGTTACAAGAAGGTTACACAGAGGTTATAAAGGCTTATACCGTGGATGTAACCCCAGCGTTGCGTACGTTTATCACACGCAAATTTTTTCCCTCTTGCACGCGCTCGGTATGGTGTGATTCACGAAAAATATTTAGGTACGGAGTACACACACATAATTACGTGCATATGGAGGTATTCGAGAGGTATTGTATCGAAGGTTTATGTCGGTGTTATTGGAGTTAATACTCTCAATAACCTCACAAAACTTTCGAATAACAGCAAAAAATACGAGTATGAAATCACGTAATATATTGGTAGGTTATTAGGGGGCTATTGAGAGGTTATACTTCAATTAACTCTCAATAAGCCCCAATAACTGAGTTATTAGATGATTATTTTTTGAAATATGCACGCAGAACTGCGTGCGTATTCCATATGTAAATAACGCTCATGATTCATGCCGTAGTTCGAACATCCAATGATTTGGACGTCTATTATTTGAACTCAACTATTGTTTAGGGGAAATTATTATATCTGAAAGTCCGCACTCACAAATCAGATATATGATGATATGGTGGCTCGTGAATGACTGTTAGGACGTGCGGCATCTGAACTTAATTATTTCATCTTCTTAAAAGGGCTAATGAAAAGAAGAATCTTATTTTTTTCACAACTCATGATTGTTGTATTCTTCTGAAAAGCTTTTTAAAGCCTGATTTTAATTTTGAAAGCTTTATATATATACCACTCAATTTATTTATATTTACATATCTACCGCCTAAACTTCAATTTCTTATATGCATGCCGACTTATTTGTGAATGGTAAGATGCATTTCACTTTTTATAAGTTAAAATAATATTATTTTTGATGTGATGCGAAAGATTTTGAAAGAATTCTAGTTTCATAGACTGATGCATTTTGAGATGTGAAAGTAAATTTGAAGAAAAATTGGATGAAGATGTAAAAATCAAAGGCTGTTTATGATGTGTTTTAAAATATTGAGATTTATTTTAAGATAAGTGTAACATATAAATAATTAATCAATTCTTTTATATTAAAATTAATTCTTTTATAACTCAAAATTTTAATAATCCTCTTAACTAGACTTTGGTCAGCATCTTGATATATATATTTTCACTAATTTATGACGAAAAAATATTATATCAGGACTCCGCATGTAGAGTTATGTGCGGAGTCCAATAAAATCACACCACACGCAGAGAAAAAAAAATCGGTCCCGGTAACACGGGGAATATTCCCCCATGTTATTCAGTTGTTTCCCCCCGTGTTATTCAGTTGTTAATATATGTTATTCAAGTGTTATTGATGTATTATTGTGTTATTATAACACTATGAATATTCTCAAAACACAATAACACTTAAATAACACGGGGGGATATTCCCCCGTATTACCGGATCGATTTTTTTTTCTCACATCCGTGATTTCGTTGGACTCTGCACGTAGAGTTACGCAAGTTTGTATAAAATGATATATTTGCTCGCAAAAAACTTAATAATTTTGATAATTTATTGCAGCTGTGAAAGAATTTCGCTCTATTAAAGAGAAGAACGAGGTACTGGACAGTGAAAATCACATAGTAAAGCATTCTGTCATTGAAGGAGGGCTTATTGGCCTCAGGCTAAAATCCTACTCATTTGAGCTAAAATTTGAAGTTATAAACAACTCTGAAACTTTGGGCAAGCTCAAGATAGAATATGAAACCATAGATGACACCCCGCTTAATGATGAAGAGCAAGAAGAAATCTCCAAAAGCTTTTTTTTGATTGTCAAGGCTATTGATGAATATTTGACCAACAATCCAACTGCTTATGCCTAAATAATAGGCCATGGGGTGATGCTCAATGTTAATCTTATTATGTGCTTGTTTGTGGCATGTTTTCTTGGTTTAGGAGAGCTTCTTGTTCCCTTAAAATATTAGATAAGAGAGTTTCTTGTGTCATTTCAAGAGAGAAGAATGTACTTCATGTGGTTTGTCATCTTTTGTTTGTGTCCAAGCATTTGTTGAATGATAAAAGTCAGAGTTCTAATTAATTTTATTTTATTTATTTTATTTAAATAAATAAAAAAAAGATGACTTAAATTCAAATCAATTTATAAAGAAATTGCTCATCAGTTTATGAACATTATGGTTTTAAGGAAATACAATAAAACTTCATGAACATGATAAAATTAAAATGTTAGAATTTTATTATTTAGGACTTTATTTTAAGTTTAATGAATTCCAGACGAGATGTCAGCAGGACCTGCATAACTTAAAGATTGTAATGCACATTAAAACCTTATTTAACCTACTCTCGCAAGTTGATTTGATCCTCTGAGACAAACTAAGTAAATGTGTTGATAGTACAATACATAAGTTAAGATGAAAATCTAATGAAGCTTAAGCAAGAATAGGGCTGCCATTTGGTAGTCAAACTGAGTAAATTCACCCTCTTATGCAAAGTTAATATACATACCTTTGAACTATGTTGATTTATCCATCCATGTGAATTCAAAACATTTTCAAAGTTACTAAAAACTTAATTAACTTATCCTCTAATGATAAATCGTCATATCCTCAGTTTTATTAAGTGTAGAGTTTAAATTTTATTATTATCATTGATACAACTTAATCACTTTTTTCTAACATTGATAGCTACTAACTTAAGATTCATTTACCCTTAATGTTCAAAGCTATAGAAAAAAAAAAAATTAGTTAGAGACCATTTTAACATCAACATCTAATTTTCAAAGATGACGACTGCAAAATTCAAGCTTTATTAAATTAAACTTTATTATAAGTCATCCATAAGCACCATATAAAGATATATTTGCATTATGTTGAAGCATCCCATAACAAAGAATAATAAGAAGAGGAAGAGGAGGAATGAGATTCCATTTGAGAAAGATTTTTTTTTCTCTAGTGCTTGTAAAGAAGGTTAATTAAATTCTTCAAGAAAGAACAAATATTGCTATTTTCAATTCTAGAATGAGAAGAACCTCTTGCTCATATTAGACAATAATTTTTTATTTAGACCCTTAATTAAAAAAAAAGGGAAGAGATTAACTCGAGTAACAAAAATATATTGTCTCTTGTATATAGCCCTTGTCTAGGCAACAAACGATTATATTCTTGCCTAATCGTATAAAATGATATATTTGCTTATATCCTAAAATTTATATAAAGTGTAATTATTTATATACCTATTTTTATAGTTAGTAGAATTTTTAATTTCAATGCACTTATAGATGTAATCTTAGTTAAGTAGAATCATGTAAAATTAAATATACTTTTTGAGGTTCTTAATCTCTTTCTAATCATGTTTTGTGGGTTATTATACTTATGGATTGATGTATTCTCTTTTTTCCCCCAAATAATTGGTATCCAAGCACATTATGAAAGAAGCATGATGGCAATGAAATTAAAGATTGAGAAATTTGATAACTCGAAGTGTTTTGGTTTTTGGAGAATAGAGATATATTATATTATTTATTAAGAAAGAACTTTAAAGGCACTATAAGGTTGTATTAATTTGCTTTAATTAATGAATTAAAAGATAATGATGACAATGAAGAGGACTCCCTCAATAATTTAGTTATGCTTGATGGATGTGGTAATGATAAAAATCATAATGTAATTAATCATAGAAGGTTTGTGACTCATAAGAAAGTCATTAAAGATAATCAAAAGCCTCATCAACAAATTTTATTAGAGCCAAAGAGTTTATTTGTTATGCAAGTTAGAAGATATGGCTATTATATCTCATTTGAATAAGATTAATTTTATTTTTAAGATTTAAGAAATAGCATTGTGAATATTAATGATAAAGATCTAGTCTTAATATATAAGCTTATAGAATAGAAATAATTTACTTCTGTTAAAAATTGTAACCTTTAAGCATGATGAAGGTGATAGATTAGTTAAAGGTTTATTTCAACTTAATTAGAAAATAATCAATAGAGCAAGGATTCATTCATAATCACAACCGGACTACACTCAAAATGAAGCAAATATATTATTTATTTTTATATAAGAGTCAACTTGGTGCGCAATCGTGGCCAGTTGGATGGCAGCTTCGGCGTAAGTCCCCTCTGCCCCAGGTTTGAATCCCAGCTGGGTCGAATTAGCACATATGGTGGATCGATATTTAGGAGACATGGATAAAAAGTCTGCCCTAAGTACCGATTCCTTTATATATATATATATATATATATATATAGAAGAGTCAACTTGGTTCATACCATGATTGATTTGAAATTTATAAGTATATTGCATACTGTTATACTAGATGTGAGTTCTTTACCTCATTTTTAACATCAATCATAATTTAGGATCTAAAACTAATCATTTAAAGCATAAGCCATCACTTTATGATATTTTTCTTACTTTTGTGTCAGAGGATTATAAGCTGGCAACTTCTAAAAAGAATTAACGACTCAACAAATAATTAAATCCCAATCTAAAAATCATAAAACATAATTATGTAATAGTCCAAAACACTATTGAGCATATATCCAAACCATACAAAGAAAAAAATTTCTAGCAACACAGATTATCATACAATATCTATCTCTTAGAATGATATGATATTATCAATGTAGTTTTTTGTCCCAAGATATGAAGTTTTAGCATTTGCAAGGCTTGCTACACTTCAATGAGCCAAGAACCAATATGAATCATCTTTGGCTAGCTTAAGAGTGCTAGTTTTTTCCCATAAGGTGGTCTATACAGTGAAGTTCTTAGATTGCCCAAAGTCTCTCAAGTGTAGTATGTGCCAGAGATAAAGAGAATGAGAAAGACAACCAAAGTAATTAAGCGAGATTTGGTCGTCATTACTAGCATTAGTCTAATGTTCACAAAATATAAAAGATTTATATTGCGTGTATGAACCAAAATAGAAGATCAAATTAAGTGTGTAAGTGTAAGAAACATTTCCTAATTAGATGGAAAATGAAAATATGATGTATATGATCCATGTGATGTTGGCTACAACAAATAAGAGGGACATGCATGAATTATTGACGATCCCCTGTTTATTATTAAGGGCATTTACATACATACTATTCAATTCTTATATAATTACATATAAATCCAAAAATTTACTTTTTCTTACAATTCTATTACTCTTATCATATGAAGTGTCAGTTTGGTGCAGCTTATAAGTGCGGGCAACATTTTCAAAACGCAGCTTATCCGATAAACACAAGCCACAGGTCGAAACCCGCAGGCCGTCCACTGTTTGTGTTTCAGGATAAACTGCTTATCTGGATAAGCACAAGCTACCCCAAACACACTCTAATACTTGGGACAAAAGAAAAATGAATAAAATAATATATTTTCAAATTTCAAGTTAGAATTTTTTTGTCAAATAACGTATTTTTTGGGACCAAATTTTTATCTGTTTCTGTAAAAAAATTTAATTTTTTATGAGAAATATGTAATCTTGGATGTTCCTATGAATTTATCAGAAGAGGCGTTTACATACATACCACACAATTCTTAAGTAATTACAAATTTAACACCCAATGCTTAATAGTTACAATTATATCCCTCAAATTCTTAACTTCACAAAAAAAAAATCTTATACTAATTTCTTAATAAAGATTATAGTTTTATAGCACCAATATTGTGTTATAAATATAAATATTTACATATACAAATCCATAAAATTTATGTGGCACGTTTGTAATTTTTCAGAAAGGAAGGAGCAAACTATTATGGATTCATTATTATGACCTAATGTTGATAAAACTGGATCCTAGTTGTTGTGAAATAGATGCAATCTAGTTCTAATATAAAGATAAAAAAATAAAAATCAATAAAAAAAATAGAAAAATAAAAATAAATAATAAAAATAACTCGTAAATTTTGATAACTTCGTGCGACTTCTCAACCCTTTTGAACTCCAGAAAGACATCCAACACGAAAAATAAAGTATTAACTGCTCGTTTGACATCACTTTTATTTCCTATTTTTAATTTAATTTTTAATTTTTAAAATTTTTTTGATTGACGTATTTTATTTTTTATTTTAAAAAACACTTAAAACATCTAAAAGATATTTTAAATATTTTAAAGAACAACTAGACTAACTAAATATATTTTAATTTTAATTAAAATATAAACAAAATAAAACTTTTTAAAAAGAAGAAAACAAATTATTTTGTTTATTAGAAAATTCACCTATTTTTAAAAATAATCCACACAACATTTATATGTTTAAACATCAAACCTCACCCTCACATCTATAAAAAGGCCATTCCCACTTGAAACTAAGCCAACACCAACTGAGGGAAAAAGCTCTAATTTTTTCTCATTCAGAGTTTCTTCAGAAGAACAACAATGGTTTCGGGTTCCTTCACCCGCGAGCTCGTGTTGTCCGTTGAGCTCGACAGAGTATGGAATGCAGCCGTTGTTGATGGACATAACTTGGTTCCACAGCTTGTCCCTGATTTTGTTACAAGTGCTGAGCTTACTCAAGGAGATGGTGGAGTTGGCACTCTGATGATTGTTCATTTTGGTGAAGGTAAACTGCCATGAACAATTCTATCATATATAAGAATTGTGTGGCATTTATGTGTGCTTCCATTGATTCATCCTCTGTTGTTTGCTTGTTTTACTTCTTTATTATATATTTTATCTTCATTCATCAACAATTAATTATTTGACAAACTAAACCTTAGTTTGCAGCTGTGGAAGAATTCAGTTTTATTAAAGAGAGGGTTGAGGAACTAGATACAGAGGAGCACATAGTAAAACACTCTATCATTGAGGGAGGGCTTATTGGCCTGAGGTTGGAATCTTACTCAATCGAGATAAAATATGAAGCAGCAAATGATTCTGAAACTTTGGCAAAGTTCACATTAGAGTATAACACTATAGATGATACTCTTCTTAGTGATGAAGAGGAGGAAGAAATCATAGAGGGCATTTTTTTTATGTTTAATGCTATTGAAGGGTATCTGACAGAAAACCCAGCTTCTTATGCCTAAATAATATGTTGCAGTGCTTGTTTGGGGGTTGTTGTGAGCTAATAAG